TCTTCAAGTTAATGAAAGGTATCAGTCAAGTAACATGAATGAACGAAAGTAAAATCCAATGTTACAAATACGCTTTAATATACAAATTACTAGCTGCACCATATATTTTAATTATTTCATTTCTGTTAAGATTAACATTTTCTATTTTATTTTTACCCATTTCTTTGACTTCAAAGTTACCAAATTCTAATCCTTCTCCACGTAAAAGAGGCTTCCATTTTTTTACAAAAGTTTTAACTCTACCAACATTTTCTTGAGTCACTTTAAATCCAGACTTTGCTATCTTAAAAATTTCATGATAATCTTCACAAAATTTTTTATACGGCGCTTTGGTTAACTGGTCAGCTTCTTCTATTTCTTTATTATCCATTTTTTCTAACGTTAAAATGAAATTTGATCTATACTTTATTAATAATTAAGATGATATTATTTTTAATTTTAATAATAAATATATACCTTTTATTTAAATACTTCTTCTGATTAAAATTTTTTACATCTTAAAAATTATTCAATATTTATATATCAGTTTAATTTATACTTATTAATAGTCGGAAAAAATATTCTACGTAAAAAAAAATATTTTTGTTTATCTATTAACTTCTATTTGGGTGTCAGCAAAAAGAAATGTATATATCTAAATAAAAAGAGGTCATTACATAATAATCAATGTTTAGATAGGTACATTTTCTTTTGGCGACACTCATAAATACAGATCGAGATAATTATTATTTAATTATATGAACTTCTAATTTAATACTGTATTTTATACGTAAAAGAGTTACCAGAAAATGAAAATGTGTATTGGGAAAAAGTGTTAGGGGAAATGAAAATAAAATGTTTGCCCGGGTTTGGAAAGCCGTATATCGGATATCTACGTATTCGAATTTCAACAGTTAGACTATTCCCCAAATTAATTCTCTGCTTAACATAACTCCTATTTTTTTGTAAAAAACCTCATATTAACCAATCGAATTGTAGTATTAACTTTTTACAGCCAATAGAATTACTGGACTTTATTAAGTGTTGGTTTATGTTAAACGATTAATTTGGAATGACCTTATTCGAATAAAATAATTCCGGTCAAAGGGTACGGTCATTGAAATTGTGAACCAATCAGTACCTTTTCTTTAGGACTTTTGCCAGGGACGTGATTATGATGATTTGGGGGTCTATAATGAAAAACCAATTCTGAGTTAGTGTCTTATGTGCCCCTACCTCGCGCATAAGTGTCGTAACCAACCTTGCCCATGTTACTTTTAACAGACTAAACGAGAGGCTAAAGAGGCTTAAGTGTTCGCGGTTATACTAAGCCTTTTATATTGTGACTCACCATGATTTACGTCGTGATCTTCAGCTGATATTATCCAAGCCAAGGATCGATCAAAAACTTTTGGATTTTCATATGATCGATCGTGATCGGTCATTTTTTAGAATAATACATTCGATTTTTGAATGCATTAACAAAAAAAAATATAAGATTGAGTAATTAGCCATTGTGCGATCGACCATCATATAATGAATTGTGCCTCAAGGCTTGGAAATGTCACCTTTGCCCCGTAACAGTAGTTAGCTACAAAGCCATTCCTAGCATTTCATAAAAAGTTAGCTTAATCGTTGACGATTAGATCAGATCTTGTGTTATTTGCTTCTATAATAGGTTGATAAATTTTTATCGTTATTATTTCAACTATAGTTATTACAAGGTAAAGGGTAAATGGACGTTCTTCTAACATTATAATAATTGCGTATATCAAACATTGTTAAGTATTTCTATTCTTCTTTAATACTTCTAAACGTTTCTTGGCCTTTGCGTTTATTTATTTTTTTTTCGGTAGCAGCAGCGTTAAAATTCTTATATATCTTAATACGACTTTTTAGTATCTCTACGCCATCAAAGGCCAAGAACTTTGCGGATCGGACATTAAATAATTCACTAGGCTTGAACGTGTTTTAACATCTTCGTTCATCATTCATCAGCGATAAACAATACATTACTCTTCTAATATATCCAATATGAACAATCCAAGCTAGGCAGTGCAATCATGTGCAACTTCCAACTGAAAATAATAAAATGGATACATCCTTCGGTTGAACATCTTCATTTTCTTATCATTGTCTTCAAAAACAAAAAAAAAAATTTAAAAAATAAAGAAATCAAAATAAAATAATTTTATTTAATATTAGATATTATTTTCAGAAAGTAAAAAAAATGGTTAATGTCAAATCTGATTGTATTATTTTATTCTTGATCTTTTTGATACATATTTTTTGCGGAGTGGAAGGTAATCAGGAATCGAAAATTTTTTGTTAACCTTTGTTGACAGCTTCAGCTAAACATTCATACTGTTTTTACAGGATTGATAAGGCGCGACAATTCTGATATCAAAACAATTTGCGGAGGTAACTAAAATTTAATTCCTTCCTCCTGAACAATATTTCCTTCTGCAGTCTAACTTTACTCAACCATTACTTTCCATCAAGAATTTAGTTTTGTGTATCCACCGGCGAACGCCTCCACTTTGGACCAAATCACCATAAAAAATGATACTACGATTACATGTAAATGGTCGACTCAACCTGGATCACGAGTCGTTTCGGTCGTAGATTTCGAACTTTTCATGGATGAAGGACCTCGCCAAGGACTGATAACTGTTTTGTGGGATAAAGGTGTTAACATGACGCAAAATTCGGCAAGTGTGGAGGTTCGAATATATTCATCTTCGGACATAAAACTTCCTGCAACTTTCTTGGCTAGAAGTTTTGCGACTACGGATTTTGGACCTAAGTGTACTGCTTACACGTATGCATTTTTCTTTATTAATGCCAATTTGATTTCTTCTTTTCCCAGCAATTGTTTTATTAATCATAAATTTATAAACAGTAAGCACTTTACGATCACTACATAAAAAACAATTATTAACATATTAATAATAATTTAAATATGTAAAGAAAAAATTACTGTCCATGTTATATGCAAATAATGTAATTGTTATACATAATAAATGTTAAACTTTTATTTTATAAAGCGTATTTGTAACATTGGATTTTACTTTCGTTCATTCATGTTACTTGACTGATACCTTTCATTAACTTGAAGA